GTGGAAGGTGTCCCTGCCCATGGCAGGGGGGTTGGAACTAGATGGTCTTTAAGGTCCCTTCCAACCCAAACCATTCTGTGATTCTATGATTCTGTCTATGAGTAATCTTTGGATGCCTTATATGCATACCAATCAAATATATGAGACTGAGATGATAACAAAGCACTTAAAGATTTTTAGGTAGACTCCTGCTCTAGTGCTCTTGCAGACTTGCTTTCCTGCTCTATGTGTTTTCATGCATTTATGAAGATCTAACCTTCATTAAGAGTCGAAACCTCAGAAATGGCACTGATAACTCAGTCCAACAAAAATTTTGTCTGAATATCCAGCTTTGCAATTTGTAAATCCTTTCACCCTACTTTACTGTGTTCACTTGGAGTCATTGATATAGTTCATTGCAGTCACCTCAAGCAATTTCCTTCCTTAGTGTATGCAACCAAATTTTTTAGTATGGTAAAGCCCTGCCCATCATACTACTTGCATATAATATGAGAGCTCATTGCTTTAGACATGCCATTTCAGCTCCAAATGCCACTCATTTCAGAGCTGACCATCATGGGCACTCTGACATTCTACTCAACTATCAAGTCATTTGAAGCCCACTCCCGTGTCTGAATTTTCTAATGTTGAACCGACAGTGGAGGTCCTGTAAAGAAATAGCTCAGCTCTAGGTTGCTGGTGGGGTAGGGTCTGGGGGATGGTGAAAGAGGCAAAACATTCCCTTCATATATTCATATCTTATTAGCAGCAAAACCCGGTGGGCTTTACACACGAGAAACGCCCATCGCTCTGTCTGCAAACTGCCGCTTGCAGCTGTTAGAGTTTCACCCACTTCCCATGCATGCATGTTTCCAAACTCAAAAGCTAGAGGGTCCTACAAGTGAACTCCTTTCCTTCTCTTAGCTAGGACTGAGAAAGTTACATTAAAAGTCCAAAGTCTAAAATCAGTACAAAGTATTGGTGTTTTTTCCTCTACAAGGCTTACATGCATCACTAGATAATGTCTTCCGAGTGAAGCATTATTTGACATCTCTATTGTATTATATCATAAATGGAACTTACGCTGTGCTGGCTGCTCTTCTCCTAGCACCTGTGTGAGTTTATGTACTAACAAAATGGAGTGAGTGCCTCTTCAGTTTTAATCACAGGAGCATGTGATTGATTTCTGCACCAGTTTTATGTGGACATCTATGCAAGGAAGGCTCTGTCTGCAATAATTTCTTCTGTCTCGTTACCTAATGAGATTGTTGATTCATTGATTTCTCTATTCAATAAGCTTTTAAAACTGGTGGATTTGATTTACACTCCATGAATGAACTGAGAGAAATTTTTAAACAGAACTCTAAGATAGGTACTTATGTCAGCAGAAATTAAAGATGTGAGTACTTTACCCTAAGGCATCATTAATAGAGGTTTAATTTTAGTTGATTTCAAATTCAGGGCAGAGGCCAATGAAAATTTCATTAATCTGTATGCTGTGGGAACTACATTTGCCAAATTGACTTGGGGGATTTGCATAATATGATGGTCTTAGAGCATTGTATGGAGTCTGACCCTTATATTTTATCCCTTTTGAAGTCCAGTACTTTTTAATTTTCATATCTCCTTGTTAATTTATTCAGTTCTTATAGCTTAGTTATCACTTAAACTATAAAAAAATAATTATCTACCAACTGAACACAGTGTTATTAAAACTTTCATGTTGTCTTCTGTCATTGTTAGCAGAGTTAACTTTAAAAAATTATTTTTGTTTTCATGCTTAAATCATTCCATTTTGTGAATAAACGTGCAGACATAACTTTTAACTTTGGAGAACACCAGTTCTCTCAAAGATCTTCTGCTAATGACATTCCCTAACATCTATGACTTATGGTCAGGGTAACATGTGGTGGCAGTGGAGAGTCCGTAAGTGGTAAAACTGTAGAACACTGTTGTGTCTCAAAAGCAGGGAGATAGCAGGTTTATACTGATACAAACAGAGGATGGCAAAAATAATAATATGGGATAAATACAGAATCTCTCTCTTCTTTTTTTTTTTTTTTTTTTTGCTATTCATCTTTCTTCAGCAGCAAATGGCCTGATCTTACTGGCTTTGTAAATCACTCAGATAAGCCATCAAATAGTTTATTTGAACTCAAGTAGTAAACTGGGGTTTAGCTCTTAGTTTTGTTCTTTACTACCTGGCCGGTCCTGAGAGTTCAGTATCCCAGACAAATGCCAGTCTGGAATGCACATATACTTTCAGATAATTTCCTGCTAATACAGTAATTTTTTTCTTTTTTTTTTTTTTTCCTGGAACCCTTGACATCAGCCTTATTTTTGTAGAAGATAGGAAACAAGTCTTCTGTTGTGTTTGTAAACTTAGGATATACTCAGTTCCGTACCTCATATATTCTATTCCAGAAACTCTCTGGTCACCAGAGTCATCAGAAGCAGACATTTGTCATGCTCTCTCTTCTTCCCAAGTCTTCCATTGGAAGTTTCTGCTTGGCATCATTGTCACTCAACACTAAGGGGACAATCATCCCATGAGCAAAATCTTGTGCGTGTGAAAGAGAATAGCTGGGAATGCCTGGCAGTGTAAATCCACTTTTAAAAATTTAATATTAAAACACTAAGCCAATATGTGTACTGAGGAAACCAGCCAAGTTTAAGAACATTACAGTGACCAAACCATAATAATTGTTCCTGGGCTGAACAGCTGCACTGTTTTCCTCCCACAGAAATAAAAATGGTAGGAAATATGCCAAGGAGCATGGCTCTATGTATTTGTAGAATTGAAAATTTGATAGAGGCTGCAACGATTTAAAGTATGTGAGTATTATCAGGGCACTTTACAAAGAGACAAACTGGGGGCAAAGGTTTATGACTTGTCAAAAGTAACACATGGCAGAGCAAGGAGCTCTGGGCTCTACTCCTGCTTTACAAGCCTGTAAAGAGTACACTAGGGCCTAGCTCCTGCTGTGTGGTTTAGATACAACGCACTATTAACTTCCATCTTTTTTTTAGTGCATTACTGCTCTGATTGCCCACTAGTAATTGGGGTTAGTTTTACAGGACTGATTTTTGCTCTGGAGCTACAAGTGATCAACTACTAATACGAACTCACAGCTTTCTGTATGAGTTGATACTGAACATATGGGAAATGGTAATACTACCCTGGAGTTCAACACACTCTTCCCTTGGTGTATTTTTTCAAGCCTCTCATGATGTTCCTTCACAGCAGGGGGCTGCCATGCAGCAGAATTACTATGGATAACACATGTATAGACACTCACAAGGGTCACTCACCATTGTAAATTGTTTATATGATATACAGCACTGTATTCATAAAGGCGAGAATGAAATGTGTTTGAACCTATGCATTTCTTTCTCCAGAGGTATACAAAACTCTTTCCATATTTCTGATTGGCTAAAAATTTTCGCCAGCATACTGAATCTCACAAATGCTGCACTCAGAAAGTGTTTTGAATCTGCAGAGATAATTTAAGTAATTGAGAATGAAATTTGGCCAGGATAATCTTATTAATGTATTGATCTTAGCCCTACTTACGATTGCACTTCAGGAAAAAGCTCCTGTGGTATAGACACTGCTTTGCTCTGTGTTGAAATTGAGCACTGTTGTTAGTAGCAGAGTTAGACCATGGTTTCTTGCATTTGCCTGGGAAGTATTTCCTTTATGTGAAGCTTCATGCAAGAGTGAAAGAAGGTGAAAGGGTTCATGTTATCATTAAAATACTAAAAAAGGTAGTGTTATTCATTGAGTAACCAGCAGAGAAGACAGGAATTCCTTACCACACAGATTCCAGATCCATCGAGGCATCTATTTGCATTACCGTTACAGTTGCAAGGAGAGCATTTTCCTGAGCTGGTATGGTAAAATCCTTCTTGGCATCCCTGCAACGAAAAAATAAAAATAAAGTATTTCCTATGCATGCATATTCGGAGAGTTAGGTTTGGCTGAGAGGCAGGGGAAAGCAAGAATTACAACCGCCAGGTCTCCCCAGAGCGCACTGCACAGCCCCATCATAGCAGACCACACACACACTGCTGACTCGCGCCTGTTCTTTCACTCCCTGCCCTGGTGCTTGCTTTTTTTGCCTCACAGTATC